GCTTCAAGAACTGACCTTTGACTTGCTGCCCATCCTTTTACGGTTGCCACTGTAATGAGATAATCAGTGTTTTCCACTTCATCTGTTTCAATGCTCTGGCTGAACAATCGATAACTGAATGAGTGATATTATGTAGATCATTCATTTGTCAATTTTGATGCTGTATTTCCTTATTTCTTTGCTGTGGTGTAGCATCTAAATTCACTCCTCTGCTTGTCTCTAAGGCATCAGCTGCAGCACATGATGTACATCTTCATCTATATGTTGTTCAGGAGATTTTATTTTTTTCTTCTGTTATTCCACAACTTCTCGCTCATGTCAACAAAAATGTTGAGCTCTGTCCATTCTTTATTCTTTAGAGACAGCAACTGACAAAACAGTCTTACTGACAAAGATTATGTGGGGAGTTTATCACTTCAGAACCAGAGGAGGACCTTGAGTGAAGACTGCTTTGTCAACTGTTGTTTCCAAAGTCAAAAATGAGCATAATGCCGCCATGTGCTTCTCTCCATGTTTATATTGTTACATCCATTTCATATTTGTCAGGAAAACGGTTCCTTTTTTCTATTTCACTCTCTCTGTGTTCCATGTTCATCTCCAGCGTGCAGTGTGGAGGCTCTATGGGGCAAAAATGAACTCCTCGTCCATTATTTACCTCTTATCCTCCCATAATGTGCACAATGCTGTTTTTCTGTGCTGGAAATCCAACCACAGATTGATTGTGTTTTACTCTGAATTTGACATCTCACCCTAAATGCCATCTGATGCTGTGCTCCTACATTTTCAGTTTTCTCGGACCTTGAGTTCTGGGTAAGTTGCTCACATTGCCTAATTGGTGATCCAGCATTGCAACTGCGCCCTGTCATAAAAGGGGGGGAAATGTCATAAAAGTAATTTAACAGCAGGAAAATGAGTTTCTTATGTCATACTTTAAACCTGGAGGTGGTTAGATAGGTCCAAATATTCATGCTGCAGCAAAGACTCCGGCTGAGAAAACCAGCTGCAGTGGTGAGGTCAGTTGTCTTGAACTGATTCAGGCCTGAAATTAACAGGTTAAGCTTTTTTTTAAAAAGAGGCTAATATTGAAAAATGCTTCTATATCCAAGACCTGACAGCAAGATAAATGAGCTGTATGTGCACGGTGACAAGATACCCTCCTCATCCTCAGACACCTACGTCCTGGAGTGCAGCAGGCGTCACATCATAGGCGGTGGACTCCTCTGTCATCAGCATCCTCAGCCAATGGAGAAACCAGCGGAGGAGCTTTAACATTCTCTCCGGAGCAGTGCGGACCAGAGCGCAGCGCCTGGCGCCACAGAGCCATCCTCCCGCGCGTAACATCGTGCACATGTTAAAGTGAGTTTTCCTGTTCTCACCATGGACTCTTTTCCTTCTTTATGTTCGTCTTGAGGACTGTGGATGTTTTAAGCGGCAGCGTGGATATCCAGCAGAGAAATGCTGCTTTACGGATCCGCTGGCATCTGCGTCTTGAGAGGAATTTAAAGCAGAAAGTGAGTAGTTGACTCTAATTCTTATTGTTATCAGACCGTGGCTAGTCTCTATAACTTATTAAAGCTGACACCCTTGATACGCTTTTCTAAAACTCGTTTTGAAGAAGGCACGTCCAGGGAATGTGGAAGTGCGCCAAAACCCATAGAATCTGTGCGTTTTCCAAAACCAAAGCAACCAAAATGATTATTAATCCTTATTTTAAAAATGCAAAATGAAGTGCCTGTGTCAAATGCCTAAAGGTAAGTCCATATTTTTAAAGTGAACATCCTCTAAGACGCACAGAGTCTTGCTGGACGGCGCTGATCCGTGCGCACTGGAGCAGATTTATTCGGATTTCTCTTTGCATCCAGACCAATGTTGGCTGGATATGCGGGGAGTTTCTGCATGACTGCGCGCTGTAGATGGATACATAGTGGAATACAGAAAAGAAAAAAAAAGAAAAGCTGCGGGATATGACACTGAAAACTGAACGGCAAAATAAGTAACGACAGCCTATAGCTGCATATTTATTTATTATATTTCTGAACGTGAAGATGGAAAAAAAGAAAAGAAAAAGTGTTTTGTTGAACTTTTATTTCACTTGAGATGCACGATCTCTTTACTGTGCCCACTGAAATCAGAATTTCTAAACCGCCTCTTGCTCTCTGTGCGCACTGGGAAAGCTGGCTCCAATGGTTTTAACGCAATGATGGAGATTTTATCTGAACAGCTTCACGTGTCAAAAAAATAACTAGAGGACAAATCTACATTTTCTAGATTTAGTCATCGATGGTAACTTTTGAACCGATTAAGACAATCTGAGTTAAGGTTCTAGTTTAGAATCAGAAGGAGGATGCCCAGATCTGCCTTTAACGCAGCCACGAGCGTCAGCTGGGTTTTGTTTACTACTACAGCTGTTGTTGTTGCCCGGCCAGATTATGACGTCACCTTTCCTCGCGCTGAAGTTAGTAGTATCCATCCGTCCGTCCGTCCATCCGTCCATCTGTCCATCCATCCAGCACCCAGGGGCTGCCCGGCTTGTCTTCACGTGAGCGAGCAGAGCGCGCCAACTGATGTCAAACAGCTTCTGTTTAATGCATCGTGCGCGTCCCTGGCGAGATAAGCAGGAACTTCAGAAAGGAAAAAAACAAAACGAAACAGACGACTGATAACATATTTCAAAGCTAAAACATTTACTGACATCTGACCGTTTCATTTGCACGAATAAATCATTTATAAAAACCACTTTAATACAATTTATGCACCCAGTTCTACTTTGCCCCATCCTCTGTGCAAATCAGGTGCAACATATTTAATACGTGTGCCACAGAGGGTTGCTCAAACCCAAACTGTCCATCAACTTATTTGCATTTTTCGTGTGTTTACGTGTGTTTTCTAGGTTTGCAGCTCTTTTCTGTGTGTGGTCATGTTTTCTCACTTGGCAGCATTTTTTTTTTCACCCTCAAAACAGCTCGTGTTTTGTCTATTTCACTATGATTTCTTCAGAGTTGAGGTCACAGACCACATGCAAAGGTCAGCAATTCCACACAAAATTAGCTGAGAATCCACAGGAATTGTCCAGGTGAGAACAACAGGTAGGAAGGATTAGGTGGATGTTAGGAAGAAAGTAGTTTTTTGACAGGCAGAATAACAATTTACAGTCTGGATAGAAACACAAAAGGGCAGTAAGAAAGATGGGACATGAACCTAACCAGAAACCAAGTGTGATTATACACCTGTACCATCAGGCCACCAGGTGTCACTCACAGCAGTACAGCTCTGGTAAACTGAGGGTTAATTGGAGGTGGAAGCAGGTGAATGTGGGATTCAGGTAACTGGGACAGGTGGTGAAGTCTGAGGGCATCTGTTGGCTGGATGGAGAATTGCAATGAAATGTTAGGGGATTAAAATGTGGCTAAAGAGAAAGGCATGAACACCACTGCAGGAGTTCAGTGTTCGCACAGGAAGTGTTTAGCGCTGCAGTAAACTGAGCACGTAGTAAAAGTGAAGCGAAAAATATGAGCCAGAGTTTCAGGGCGTTGCATCATTTCAAATCTGTAATGCAAACGAGATACAAAAGAGTAGCCAGCAGGCAGTCGCACAACCGAGGAGTGAAAAATGTCTTTTTTGAGAAGTTAAGGACCTTGATGTTTGGAAACCGGCAATTATTTATCCTGATAAATTGATTCGCCTACACAGAAACACGCTGTTGGTGTGTTGCCAGTAAATCCAAGGTTACATCCAAAGATTACATTTGCAGAAAAACAACTAAATGTTGCATTTTTTAGAGATACCAGTTTTTTCATCTACATAGTTCACATTTGCAAATATGTTAGAAATGATAAGTGAATAAAAGTTGTCATTGAATGTAGTCTGGCTGCAAGGTGGCTCAGTGGTTAGCACCGTTGCCTCACAGTCAGAAGGTCGCCGGTTTGCGTCCCGGTGAGGATACCCGGGATCTTTCTGCGTGGAGTTTGCATGTTCTCCCTGTGCAGCGTGGGTTCTCTCCAGGTTCTCTGGCTTCGTCCCACAAGGTCCAAAAACATGTTGGTGATTCTAAATTGTCCGTAGGTGTGAATGTGAGTGTGCTTGGTTGTCTGTCTCTAAGTGTAGCCCTGTGATAGACTGGTGACCTGTCCAGGGTGTCTCCTGCCTTCACCCTGAGTCAGCTGGGATAGACTCCAGCCCCCCCGTGACCTGAGTGAGGATTAAGCGGTGTATAGATAATGGATGGATGGATGGATGCAATCTGAAGTTTTGTAGGTTCAGCACTGTGTCTAACAATGGGGTTGTCTTGTCAGGTTCCATGTATACAACCAGTCAGGCTGTATGATTAGATATGTCCTAATGAAATGCACCTTGGAAGTTGGAGTTGTCTCCTTTTGTTTAGTTTTTACATTCGCAAGCAAAGAACCAGATTTTCGCCCACATTGGTTCACCAGTAGCTGAAACTCTGTTGCTTTAAATAAAGACAAACCCTCTGTGACATCACCCATAGGTTTCCTCAACAGCAGTGCTGAAGCTCGGTGTGGTGGTTCTGACTGCTACAATCTTGTCAGTGCCCGACTCTGCTTAACTCTCAGTTAATGCAAAAATAAGCAAAGAGGTGGAGCGTGAACAGAGCTGAAGGAGGCCATGTGAACATCTCTGGGCCGTGGACTGTCCTACGATGGCATCCACCCGTCACTCAAATCAGCCGCCATCTTAATTATTCATAACTTTAAGCCCTGATATAATTTAAATGGGGGAGTTATATAAAAAGTCACCCTTGTACAGATCTCATCAACCTAATTTCTGCTTGGTTGTCCCGCACTGTCTATGAGGAAACTAGCAAGATATTTACTTCCACCTGATTTGTTGTGGTGTTAAGTCTCAACATTTTGTAGGATTGTAGGATTTCAATATGTTATATGTCCCTGTTTTCTACACCAACACCTCAGGCCTAACTTTTTTTTTCTGTTTGTGTTTATTTCAGGTCATGATGTGAATGTGAAGCAGCAGTCTACCCAATGATTGAAACCAGCACACCGACTATGCTGGACAGAACTGAACCAGCGCACTGCACTGTGTGCTGCTGCACTCTGGCCAACAAAATCCTCATGGTAGTCTTCATGGTGCTTCTGATCTTCGCCATCTTGTTTGGGAACTTAGTGACTCTGGCTGTGGTGCTGGGAACCAAACACTTCCACACTCCGCAGGGCTACCTGAAGGCGTCCCTCGCTGTGGCTGATCTGGTCGTGGGGATGTTTGTGGTGCCGCTGTCCGTCTACGCTGAGGTCTACCTCATGGTGACCGACTCGGCACCAGAGTGGACTTTCTACAACTCACAGTCGGTGAGTTTCCACCCATGTAACGTCATCGGCCCAGTCTTTGGCGGGTGCACCTTCGTCTCCATCACAACGATTTTCCTGCTGACGATCGAGCGGAGCATCGCCGTGCTGAGGCCGCTGCACAAGGACTCTGTGATTACTCGTAAAAGGACCACCATCCTCATTGTCCTCTCCTGGGTGGGGAGTTTCTTCTTGGCTGTGTCTCCAATGGTTTTCAGCAGTGAGATCGCTCTGGAGTATAACTCCTGCAGCCGGATGTGTAACTACGCTCTGGGAGCCATCGGCGAGTTCCCCAGCCAGGCCTGGAACATCCTTCTCCTCTTTCCTGCGTTTGATTTCACCCTCCTTGGTGGCACTGTGGTCATAAACATCATCTCTCTTTCCAGTATCAGACAGCACTCAAGACGGAGGAAACACTTGGCTGAGTGCGAATGCCAAAACACCTCCAAACCGACATTCTCAGACATTAAAGCAGCCAAGACGATTGGTACGCTAACGGTGGCCTTCACCGCATCATTCACCCCTATCGCCGTCTTTGTTGTTGGAAACGTTTTGGGGAATAAGTGGTGCAACTTTTCTTTCTTCGCCTTTTGGATTTTGGCTTCCAACAGTTGCTGGAATGTCATAATTTACAGTGTGAGGGATCAGAAGTTCAGGATTTGTGCGCACAAACTCCTTATGCCTCCGGTGAAAAAACACAACCAAAACATGAAAACAGCAGTGACCAAAGACTAACGACTAAACCTAACAGGTCTGCATCATTTAGATGTCTGTTTGTCGCACAAACTCTTTGTTCAACGCATTGTGAGTCTCATCAAGAGACGTGTCTGCATGTCTTGTGGATTTGCCGTCGTGAAATTACTTTGTTTTTTACATCGATAAGAAGCATGGAATGTTCTCGGATCACAAACGTTGAATTGAAACGTCCCTGTTTGTGGGACTTTATCTTGTTCTGTGTAATGTTAAATAATTGAGGCCTGCTCAGTGTGTGGAATGATGGCTTATCTGAGTGTAATCAATTAAAACCCAATAAAAACAAAGTCTTGCGGCTGTGTGTAAATTTATATTTGGACGTTACACAGTTCAAATGATTACTGTGTGCAAGAAAGATATATTTCTGATACCACTGAATGTTGTTAAACACTCTAAACACACACAGGTGCACACATACAGGATGTTACATGAGGGCTAAATGGAGTAAATCTTCAACCTATACTTCAACAGCAAATAATAAGGACTAACACTATAATAATAACTTTATCTGTATAGCACTTTTTAGAACACAATTCGCAAAGTGCTTTGACATAAAAACTACAGGCAAACATTCAATATAAAAATACACACAATAAAAAATGGAAAACAACAGACTGGGTCACTATTGAAAGGTGTACTAGTGAAACTGATTAAAAAAACTGATTAAAAAGACGACATCACAGAGGGGAATGAAGATAAAAGTAGATTAAGAAAGAGAAAAGAGAGAAGGATGGATGGTAGTACCAATAAAAAAAGAAAAGGGAAGCGTAATGGGCGAAATTCTATAAGAGAGATAAAAACGAGCATCACTCGAAAGCGAGTCTATAAAAGTGGGTTTTAAGAAGTGTTTTACATGAAGATACTGAATCTGCGAGCTTTACTTCCTCAGGTAGGTCGTTCCAAAGCCGAGAAGCCCTCACAGAAAACGCCTGGTCGCCTTTGAGCCTCGACTTTGGAACGATGAGGAGGGACCCACCTGAGGATCTAAGGCTGCATGTGGGGATATATACGGGGTTAACATATCTAAAATATAGCCAAGGCCCTGGCTAGCTTTAAAAGTGATCAGTAGAATCTTAAAATCAATTCTAAAACAGACAGGGAGCCAGTGGAGAGAAGCCAGTAGAGGGGAGGTGTGATGTCGCCTCTTAAAACCAGTAAGAAGCCGAGCTGCTGCTTTCTGAACAAGAAAATATGCAGCGTATTCTACAGTTCAATGATATATATATTACTACCCTATACACCAATATACAGGGTATAGCTGCTACAACTGATTTTAAATTGCATCCCTTCTCACTGATTGTTTTATTTCCACATCACAAGGAGATTTTTGTTTCTTAATCTTATGAACAATTTAAAGCAAATACTTTGGAAAGACTGCTGAATGTACAGACGCCAAAGAAAGAAACTCAATGCACACAAGCAAAAGCACCTATGATCGCTTAAACAGAACTGAATACACTGTGTAGTACAGAGTGAGGACTGTGATTTCCAGTGAGCCTATTTGTGTGGACACGGTTTGAAAATGGCCTGTGAACAGTAAAACATTCTCAATTTTGTTCCTGTCGGGTTGAGTTTGTCTGCACGTCCGCATCGTGGCTCCACATGGAAAAGAAGAGCCAAAGTAATTTAAAAAATCTGATGGTGTGGCTTCACAAAAATGGAAAAGGGTTCAGGAAGATTACCAACCAACTAAAAATCAGCCAGAACACAGTGGCAGCACTTACCACTGAGCACCACCAACTAGAGCAGCAGTGGCCGTTCTAAACTGACGTCACGGACAGCGTGCTATTTTTACAATCTAGCTCTGAAAAACAGATGGAAATTATGGAAATTGGATCTTCTGTGACAGCTCAGGCAGTATGAAGGACGCCGCACTCCCATTAGAGGACATCCAAGAAAGAAATAAAACAACTTCCTTCCTCTTTGTCACTAAACTGCAAGATTTAACTTGTGTGTAATACATATTAGGAGCATATTCTTGAGTCAGACAAAACCAAAATAAATGTATTCAGCTCAGATGGGCTCCATCATGTTTAAGATGATAAGAAGTGAATGCATAGTCCCGGCAGTGAAGCCCAGAGGGTTGGTGATGATATGGGGCTGCAGAAGACAGGCGGACAACAAAAGATATCCGATTAAGGCTGACTTGAGCATCCAAAGCAGCTAAATAAATAAATACTTATGGAGTTTATGTATGAGTGAGAGAAAAGTGAGGAGGTTATAGACAGGAGGTTTTGTTTTCTCCTCTGGTGAACCGAGTCAAGGTTTCTTCGGGCCGTGTTCCAGTTTTTCCGACTAAAATGGCTGACAAGGGCAAGGGGAATGAAAAATGAAAAACATTAAAAGTTGCTGCATATTTAAACACGGCTGCATTTTTAAAAACTATCTCGTTTGCAATCAGGGAGCTGAAACGGCGTTCGTCATGCTTCCCCGAAAATCTGCTTCAGCATCAGAACCACCTCAGCGAGTAAAGAAACCTGTTTGTAAAAGGCAATTAAATCAGGTTTGGTCAAATTTCATATATTGCAGTAGTTTAGTTAGTTTCTGAGTTTTCTTTCATCTTGGATGTGTAATGACTTCGAGCTGTGATGTCTTTGGAGGGTTGTTGGAAAGCTTTTGTTCCTGAACTGCCTCTGTCATAAAGAGGCTGGGGAGGGGAGAAAAAAAGAGAAAGAAAACACTTCCTGCACCATACATCTACAGCAGTGAGTCACGGTGCGAAGGGATGAAAGGAACAAGGTCAGAATCAATGAGAAAAAAGATGAAAGGTAAAAGACAAGCCCCATCGGTGTCCTCGACTTTAATATTAATAAAACTCATTGACTGAAGTGGCTTCTGAAAGAAGAGGAGGAGGAGGACTTAGAAAGCTGAAAGGAAAAAGGAACCGAGACAGATGTACAGGAAGCAGAGATTTAAATACTGCTGGCCTGTCTGCACAGATACAATGCAAAAAAAAGACGTTTTTGCATTATTATGTTGCAGGTGTTGTGCATGAACGGACAAAAAAAAAAAAAAAAGAGCACTGAACGGGTTTTTGGTGATCAGCAAGTAATGAAACATGAGTGTCAGGTTATCTGATTATCTGAGTTTTATGAATAAATCAGTACAGATCTGAATGGGGAAAAAAATCTCACGTTTTTATTAAAATTTTGCCTACTGGGTCTGGCTGGGATAAGCTCCAGCCCCCCTGCGACCCTAGTGAGGATTAAGCGGTGTAGAGATAATGGATGGATGGGTCTGAAAAAGGGCTGCAAGGTGGCTCGGTGGTTAGCACCGTTGCCTCGCAGCAAGAAGGTCACTGGTTCGCATCCCAATGAGGACACCCGGGATCTTTCTGTGTGGAGTCTCCATGTTCTCCCCGTGCAGCGTGGGTTCTCTCCGGGTTCTCCGGCTTCCTCCCACACAGTCCAAAAACATGTTGAGGTTAATTGGTGATTCTAAATTGTCTGTAGGTGTGAATGTGAGTGTGCTTGGTTGTCTGTCTCTAAGTGTAGCCCTGTGATAGACTGGTGACCTGTCCAGGGTGTCCCCTGCCTTCACCCTGAGTCAGCTGGGATAGACTCCAGCCCCCCATGACCCTAGTGAGGATTAAGCGGTGTATAGATAATGGATGGATGGATGGGTCTGAAAATAAAAACACAAAAAGTCAGCCACATAAGCAACAACACTGAAGCGGGACATTGAGTTGAAGCACTCAACCTCGCTCTGTGATCTTCAGTCACTCTGTGAGTCGTGCTAAGTGGCATAAGAGACATATGAAAATACAGAAATCAATAAGTTGTTTACTACTGCCATCCATCAACTCAACTCCACAGTTACGCAAAAATAAAAATACCATAAAGTTATAAGAACGTATATCATAAAACCAAATGTTTGTTCATTTACTGCAGCACTGCACCAAAGGTTGAGCTTCCAGCAGCACAAACAGGTGATCAGAGGCAGAAGACAGAAGAAAATCAGACGAGCTCAAAGCAGGATGCTGCAAATGTGACATTTACATTTGTTGGTGTCTTTCAGTGTCAGATCCAGGCCTGTGATTCACGCTGAGCAGCAGTCAGGAGCACAGCGACTGATCGCTGCGAATCCCCCCCCTGGAGGTTTGAAAGACGTGAGCCTGCAGGTGGGTGAATGATGAATGAGCTGAGCGTAAAGAGAGGAACTTAACTGACAAGTACGATCTCCTTTTTCTTCAACAGTCCCAATCGTTATGTTCCCCTGAGTCCTCTTTTCTTCCGCCGTGCACATACGCAACCGGCAAATACTTGACTGGTCGCCTATTTGTGCAACACAATTACATTGCAATTTCCAGGCTGTGTCAAAAAGTGCCGCCGTTTTCTTTTCATAAATACTTTGAGTCCATTTTGAACACCTGAAAAAAATGAAAAAACGTATTGCTTTGGGTAGATAATGAGCACATTAACGTGATGGAAAATGTAAAAAAAAAAAACACTGGATAATGTGAACAAAACAAACCATCTCTGATCCTGTTTGTCATATTGAGGGTGTCAGATTTGGGAACCTCAGAGTTGTGTCTATTTTTTTTTGCAGACGATGTGAGTTTTTTAGCATCAGTAAGCACAAAAACAGGAGGCATTGCTCTCTCTGCTGCAAGTCGATCAGTTATAGCAGTACAACGGGATCTTGTTCATGAGTGACGGTTAAATGGAGTGTGAGCATCAGCATCAGCAGGCGTCGTAAGAGGCCGTCGTAGCGAAGACGGAACACAACCGGAAGGCAAAGCTCTCAATTTATCATTCAGTCTACGCCTCAAACCTCACCTCAAGAGTTCTGACCAGTGACCGAAAGAATGAGATCACGGAAACAAGCAGCTGACATGCGGAGGGAGCTCGGAGTACTTCGATAAGGAAGCCTCCCGGGTGGCTTCCTTTGGAGGCTTTAGGAGCACGTCCGGTTGGGAGGAGACCCTGGAGTAGAACTCACTGGAGGGGTCGCATATCTCATCTGACCGAGAAAGGCTGTGGAATCCCCCAGGAGGAACTGGAAAGAGAGAGAGACATGTAAAAAATGCCCTGCTTGGCCTGCTGGCACCTAACTCTGGATAAAAAAGTGGATGGATGGATGTTTGCAAACATCAACGTAAGATAAATGAAAAGCGAAAAATACAGTCGTGTGGTGGCATGAAATCAGTTTGTTATGACATTATGATGGCAGAACTGTGTGCTCCAGACTCTTGCTGAAAGACTTCATGTATAATATCAG